TGTGCAACTTGTCCAGACTGGCTGATGACTAATCCAGGGCTTTTCCAGGTTCCGGAGCGCATTCGCGCCATGAACGCCAGCATCAAGCTCCTGCTGATAGTGCGGGAGCCGGTGACGCGCGCCATCTCCGACTACACGCAGCTGCGCGCCAACGCGGCAACCATGGCGCCCACGGCGCCCACTCTCGGCCCAGTGCGCAGCTTCGAGCAGCTGGCGCTGCACCGCAACGGCACCGTCAACGAGTCGTACCGCCCGCTCGCCATCTCTGTCTATCACCGCTTCCTGCATCGCTGGCTCGAGGTAAGCGCAGCCGCCCACCCCGATCCAAACCAGCGTGATTGCGAGCGCCCTCTACCCGCAGGTGTTCCCACGCGAGCAACTGCTGGTGGTGAACGGCGACCAGCTGATCGACGATCCGCTGCCGCAGCTGCAGCGCATCGAGCGCTTCCTCGGGCTCGAGCCGCGCATCAGCGCCCACAACTTCTACTTCAACGAGACGAAGGGATTCTTCTGTCTGCGCAACGAGACGGCCGATCGGTGTCTGCGCGAGACCAAAGGGCGGCGCCACCCGCGCGTCAGCCCGCACGTCGTGGCGCAGCTGCGCGCCTACTTCGACGAGCACAATCAAAAGTTCTACGAGCTGATTGGCGAGGATCTGGCGTGGCCGAGCGACTAGCCCCGCCCACTCCATGGGCGTGCGCATCATGCTCAAGCGCGCGCCACGTGGACTTACCTGCGCGGCACCCAGCAGCTTCTTGATCACATTGATCAGTGCCTTAAGTAGGTGGAGTGGGGGGCGCGCGCGCCCATTCAAACCAAACCGGTAAGCAATAGCACGCAAGTGTCCGCTGTTTAATTACCTGCATATCAAATCTTAACCATACATATCAAAGGTGTGATGATTGTACATTGTAAGTAGGCTTAGGGAATTTTATATGTCTATGCATAGACCAGGCAGTGTTGCCAGTGCTTGGGGGTTTTTCGCATTTTTTAGGAAAATTATCGCCCCCCGGGGGGCGGAACCTTGTGATCGTTATCATTGACACTAGTTGATAAATCTATATTTATATAAATATTTATATGTATATTGTATAGTGGGGCTGCAATGCGAGCGAAAGTGGGCGTTATATTTAAATAAATTTATAAATGTATATATACAGAGTGCGCGGGTTGTTTGCGGGCGATTCGAAACATATCAAGCCTGCCTCGGGGATGCCGTCATAGGGCCCGCGAACGGCCCGCCCACTCTCTCCATCCTACTCTACTTCACTTTACTCTACGTGTCCGTGTCTCTTGTCCTTGTTCAACCAAACCCTGTCAACTGGTCACCTATACACAAACGCGCTGTTAGAAGTTAGGTTTTTGGGTTTGTACAAAGTTTTCAGTAGATCAGTAGAAAACATGGGCGCAGTCAATTTAATTTAATCGAATCAATCGATTATTTAATCGACCCTCACAGCTCGCGCCCTGTGCGTACGGCGCCCTCTCACGGGCCACGGTCTTGTCGACGTGGCACTGTCATCGGTGACATCGCTCGGGTGATTGACCCCATTGAGTGCCAAAAAACCGGTAAAATCCCCTGATGGGGCTCCGAATCCAGTGCGGAGTGCTCAAGGGGGCCCTCGGGACCCCCTTGAGCGTAAATTCCAGTGCGCACCCGGTGAAATTTCCGTTTTAAGCGCCTGGCGGCTGTTTGGGCCTACGTTGTTGCCATCCAGGCTGGAAGCGTTCCGTAGTGCGGGGCCCCCCACGGGGGCTGCCGGCGATCAGTAGGCTGGAAGCCCTGCGGCCTTGAAAGGGCCGGTTTTGCGGGCGCTAGCTGCGCAAGTGAGGTTAGGTGTCTGCTAGCTGCCAGCTGCAGAGGCCGACACAAGGGGGCCCCCGATACTTGAAGTTGCGCTGGTGAGTACCGATTGCTGTCAATCTCAAACTTAACCGTTCATTTCAAACTTGTGATGATTCTACATTGGGTTCAGGGAATTTTGTTTGTCTATGCATTGGTGGTTTTTTCGCATTTTTTAGGAAAAAAACCTTGTGATCGATGTTGATGAATCTATATTCATGTAGTGGGGCAAATATTGCGTACACACAGCGCGCGGGTTGTTTGGGGACGATTCGCAACATATCAAGCCTGCCTCGTGCATGGCGTCATAAGGCCCGCCCTCTATCTCCATCCCACTCTACGTGTCTTGTATCCTTGTTCAACCGAATCCTGTCAACTGGTCACTCCACCCAAACCCGCTAGTTAGAGGTTAGGTTTTGGGTTTGTACAAACTTTTTAGCGGATTTATACACTGTTGAAGCCCCCACTTTGAGCCCGAGGGCCAGTGGGGCAACACCGCAATAATTTTGTTAAATTTACCAAAAAATGTGTAATTTGCCGAGGCCGAATAAAGATGAAAGTCAAACTGGGAGGTTATGAATCGTTGCCCTACAACTTTATGGTTTACTAGGTTTATTCAAATTTTATTGGTTGTTACAGGTGGTAGTAGTAGTGGGGGAGGGGGGGAGATTCAGCATACAAAAGTGCAAAATTTAACACGAATAAATTAACACTGGGGGGTGGGGGCGCTGTTGCCATTGTTCAATCTAACCTAACCTAACCTATTTATTTATACAAACAGACAAACAAACAATCAAGTACATGGAATAGGAACTAAGTAACGTAACTAGGGAACGTTTCGGCCGCTAGGCCAGCGTCCATCATACTAAAACGTATATACAGAAATGAATTGTTGCAAACCGCCAATCGATCAAATTCTCAGCAAATCAAAGCAAATTCTCTTTGGTAGTGGGCGTGGCCGTTGGCTGATCGATTGACTGTCGAAGAGGGGGCGGAGCCAGGGTGCCTTGGAATGGTAATACTGGGGCTGCGCCCCCTGCGGGAGAATACTGAAGTTGACTAGCACTATGGGCGGGGGGGCGTGGCCCTACTGGATGGGGATGGGCTGGCGCGCATGCCCCGCCCCCGGCTGCTGCCCCCTGGCGGCCTGGTGCAGAAGCTTCGACAGGCGTTCCTTGGTGGTGGAGGTGGACGGCCGCGAGGTGGCGCGTGCGTGCGATTGGCGCAAACTGCGCGCGTCACAGCGACTGTTCCTGAAACAGTGGCTTGGTTAACCAAACGTCGCCGTGGGCGCTCCTTGTCGCACTTACTTGAGCCAATTGGGCGGCAGCTGGACGCCCAATCGTTCGCACTCTCTCGAGTAGGCGGTCAGGCTCTCGCAGTAGCACTTGCCATGCGCACAATTGAACATGTCCATCTTGCAGGCCTTGTAGTATTTGGTGTTGCTCAGCTGCGACTCGCAGGCGCCAAAGTCGCGCCCGTTCAAGTGCTTGCAGGCGCCCACGTCGCCGTGCGTGCGCCGCGTTGTCTTCGGTTTCTGGGCGCACTCCGCCCTTTTGCCCACGCACCAGGAGGCGCCGAACGCGCCCACGTCCTTGTCGCCCACCGTCTTGCCGGAGCGCAGCCGCAGCTCGTCCTGCAGGTCGCCGTTGAAGTTGCCGCACAGGCCGCACAGGCGCCCCTTGAAGGCGGCGGGCGCCGTCACCTCGAGGAAGCTGCGCCCGTTCCACACGACCACGACGCCATTGTGCAGGCGCACCTCCACGCCCTCGGGCAGCTTGCGCAGCGCAAACTGCCCCGCCCTCTCGAAGTTCAGGCCCACTCTGCGCCCGTTGTACTTGACGCGCAGGCGCTGCTGCAGATTCAGGCGCGCCCCCCCGTAGCTGATGGCCACGCGCTTCGTGATTGGCGAGTCCATGTAGTGGGGCGTGGCGTAGTTGGCCACCTTGATCGAGAAGGCGCTGGCGTTGTTGCCGGCGCCGCACTGCTCGACCAGCTGGTACCGCCCCATGGCCTTGAACGTGTAGATCTTGCCGTCGAACGTTTTGTAGTGCGGGTCGCCGAACGCCATACACGCCCCTTCCACTGATCGGAAAAATTGCAACCAGGGCAAAAACGTCAAATTAGTTTGTCAATTGGGTGAAATTCTGCGCAGCAATTTTTTCAAATTTTTAAAAATAAAAAAACGCTCACATTCAACGCACTGCGGACAGCATTCGCCCTCCACGTTGATCTGCTTCATGCCGGCGGCGCAGGTGGTGTTGCAGCGGATGCGCGCGCAGCTGACCTTCCCGTCGTGGCACTCGCACGAACTGCACGCGTCCAGCTTCCACACGTTGCCATCCTGCCTAACAAAGCGCGCGTTAAACCTAGAAGGGGGCGTGGCCCGGCTAGTACCTGCCTCGTAGGCGTGGCCCGCGTAGTGGCACTGGCTGATCAGCTCGTCGGTCGGCTGCTGGATGCAGGTGGGGCAGCAGTGGGCGGGGAAGGTGCGCTGCAGCTCGGGCGCACACTCCAAGATCGGGCAGGCGCTGCGCGTGCACACTGACGTGCTGTTGACGCACGCGCACTCGATGCACTTGTCCAACTTCAGCGCCTGCCCCTCGCGGAAAAAGGACCGCTGTATGGGACAGGTGTTCGGCACCAGCAGGATGGCGCGCGTGCCGTTGCAGCGCGGACAGCACTCACCTGTCAAACGTCAACAATGTCAACTACCTACTCACCACTGGTCAACATAGTCGCATACCTGGCGCCCTCTCCTGCATGGCCCGCGAACACTGCAGCACCGGACAGGACCTTTTGGCGCAGGTCAGGCGGCCGCGACTGCAGCGACACTTCAAGCAGGGATCGTCCTCGGACACGACGTCCCGGTCCTCAGCCACCACTTGCCCATTGAATTTGCACACTGCGGGGGGAAATTGCGCGTGAGCCGGCAACAGCGCCTGCAGGGGCCACGTACCTGAACAGGTGGGGCAGCATTTTCCCGGCTCGGGCGGCAGCGGGTTGGGGCAGGGCGTGTAGCAGTGCATGTCCGAGATGGTGACCACGCCCGCCTCGCATCGCATCACTTTGCACGGATTGGCCGGCTCCGACCAATCGGTGTGGCTGGCGTAGGCCACGCCCTTGTAGTTGCAGCCCTTGCACACTTTACAGCAGCCGTCCGTCACCACCAGATGGCAGCCGTCCGTTTTGGGGCAGGTGTTCTTGCACTCGACCAGCCCGTTCTGAAACGCGCGCATGACAGGTGACAGTGCCAATCAAGTTCCAAATGGTTTTGGAAAAATTGCGAAAATTTTTCCGGAAATCCCCCAACTGCATGCGTTGCTGCATTGAGCCAGGGAACGACGGAATATTTTTTTTCACCGGGAAAAATTGTCGA